TCCTGGACACAACTATCCGTGACCGGGACAATCAGTGGCCGCGCAGGTTCAACAGCCATCATAACCTCGAGCCTGCGGATCTGGATCTTCGGCGGGACCGATGGAAGCGTCTTGGATGACGTGTGGTTCATCGACCCCGAGGCAGAGAGTCCGTGGTGGGGGCAGGTGGTCCCTGTCCCCACGGCAGGGGCCCCCGTCGCCCGGCAGCTCGCCAGCGCTGTCTTGACAAGCCAGGGGGAGATCCTTGGCGCCAGTTATGAGCCCGAAAAGGTTTATGGTTTCATATGCCTTAAGAAGAATTATCGTAGCATAGGGTGTATGACCACACTTGTTAGGGTTCATTTGGCTCCCAAGGATGTGGATGTTCGGCGGGGCAAATGGCACAGGTGCTTTGTCGGATGTGTGGCGGCTGACTCCGCTGGCGGACGACCTATCAAGTACATCCACAACAAGCAGCTCAAGCACGTCGATGTCCAGAACATCAAGCACATCAGTCACAACCACAACAACATCCAGCACTGTCACGCACACGACCACGACAACAGCAACGACAACACCCACGACAACAGGCACTGTCACGCGCACGAGCACGACAACAGCCACGACCACAGCCACTGTCACGCACACGACCACGACAACAGCCACGACAACAGCCACTGTCACGCACACGACCACGACGACAGCAACGACAACACGCACGACAACAGGCACTGTCACGCGCACGAGCACGACAACAGCCACGACCACAGCCACTGTCACGCACACGACAACGACAACAGCCACGACAACAGCCACTGTCACGCACACGACCACGACGACAGCAACGACAACACCCACGACAACAGGCACTGTCACGCGCACGAGCACGACAACAGCCACGACCACTGCCACTGTCACGCACACGACCACGACAACAGCCACGACAACAGCCACTGTCACGCACACGACCACGACGACAGCCACGGTCACGCACACGATCACGACAACGACCACGTTTACAGCCAGTGTCACGCTCACGAGCACGACAGCAACCACGACAGCCACTGTCACGCTCACGAGCACAACAACAGCCACGACAACAGCTACTGTCACGTACACGAGCACGACAACAGCCACGACGACAACCACTGTCACGCACACGACCACGACAACAGCCGCGACGACAGCAACCGTCACGTACACGAGCACGGTCACGACCACGACAACAGCAACGACAACAGTCACGCACACGACCACGACAACAGCCACGACATCAGCCACTGTCACGCACACGACCACGACAACAGCCACTGTCACGCACACGTCCACTACAACAGCCACAACGACAGCCACTGTCACGCTCATGACCACGACAACAGCCATTGTCACGTACACGTCCACGACAACAGCCACAGCGACAGCCACTGTGACTTCCACCACGACAACAGCCACTGTCACGTACACGTCCACGACAACAGCCACCACAACAGCCACTGTCACGCACACGACCACGACAACAGCAACGACAACACCCACGACAACGGCCATTGTCACGCACACGACCACGACAACAGTCACGACAACAGCCACTGTCACGCACTCGACCACGACAACAGCCACGACAACAACCACGACGACGGCCTCGTCGACGGCAACCGTCACGTACACGACAACAGCCACGACAACAGCCACTGTCACGGACACGACCACGACAACAGCCACCGTCACATACACAAGCACAATTACGACAACGACAACAGCCACGACAACAGCCACGACGACAGCCACGACAACAGCCACGACGACAGCCACTGTCACGGACACGACCACGACAACAGCCACTGTCACGCACACGTCCACGACAACGGCCACGACCACAGCCACGACAACAGCCACTGTCACACACACGAGCACGACAACAGCCACGACAACAACCACGACGACGGCCACGACGACAGCAACTGTCACGTACACAAGCACGACAACAGCCACGTCAACAGCCACTGTCTCGCACACGACCACAACAACAGCCACGACAACAACCACCACGACGGCCACGACGACAGCAACTGTCACGTACACGACCACGACAACAGCCACAACAACAGCGACTGTCACGAACACGACCACGACAACAGCCACGACAACAGCCACTGTCACGCACACTTCCACGACGACAGCCACGGTCACGCACACTACCACGACATCAACCATCAGCTCAACATCAAGCACAACATCAAGTACCACGAGTTCAAGCACCAATTCCACGACGAGCACTGCAACCTCAACCAGCTCAACCCTCTCCAGCACGAGCTCTTCCTCACAGACGGTGTCCTCCACGACGACTGCCTCTTCAAGCCACACAACGAGCAGCTCGACATCAACCACTTCGACATCAAGGACGTCCACAAGCAGCAGCTCTATCAGCTCCACGACAACCTCTAGTACCTGGTCTATCTCCAGTACGTCAACTTCAACCATCAGCTCCACATCAAGTATAACCTCAAGTACCACAAGTTCAAGCACCACTTCCTCAACAAGGACTGCGACCTCAACCAGCTCAACCCTCTCCAGCACGAGCTCTTCCTCGCGGACGGTTTCCTCCACAACGACAACCTCTTCAAGCCACACAACGAGCAGCTCGACGTCGACAAGCAGCTCGACCACGTCTTCAACAACTACTTCCACTTCGTCATCGTCCCGATCCAGCACGTCGAGCTCAAGCCGTACAGACACCAGCACGTCCCTGACCTCATCCAGCACCACTTCTTCAAGCACCACATCGACTTCCACATTGCTTGGATCAGTGGTGATCCCAAAGATGTTCGAAGGGACGACGCAGGGCCAGGTGCTTGCACAGTCGCTGCAGACGGCCCTGGCTGCAGCTCTCCAGGAGGACCCCGTGCTCTCCGCAACCACACCCGCGGGCAACGTCACCGCAGTGAGGTTGGACACGCCTGCGGCCATGGGCCCAACTGTGCTGCAGCTGAACCGCACGCGCAACCCAGGTTCCCCACTCACCGTGGTGCTACCACCGGCGCTGATTCAGGACGTGTCCGGCGGAGGAAATCCGGTTATGGTTGTCACAGAGTTGAAAGACGAAGTCGCAGGGACTTTGCCGCATGACGGGGCAGACGGCAACAAGGTCATGGTGAACTCCCCAGTCATAGAGATCTCTTTCGCCAAAGAAGCCAGTGGGGAGGTCGCCGTACTTGATATAGTCCGAAACAACGACACAATCGTGTTTGCCATGCTTGGCCGTCCGCCGGTCCCTGGTGAAAGTTGCGCCTTCTTTAATTCCACCACGGGACTTTGGTCCAATGCAGGCGTGCAGCTCATGAGCAGCTTCGAGGTGGGCGGCGAAATCGTCGAGGCCTCTTGGTGCCAGACATCGCACACCTCCTTGTTTACCATTCTCGAGAGCGTCCCTTTTGATGTCCTTTATGAGACCGATACCAGCAACATGAATGCCAGCGGCTACACTGTGGTGTTGGCTTTGGTGGCGGTCGTGTGGTGCATTGCGGGTGTTGTACTTTGCTTCCTGTGCCTGCGCTGGGTGAGACCGCCAAGCTCCGGGCAAGCAGAACTCATGTACGCTCGCGGAAGTGCGAGGCAAATGTCGTTCCAGTGCAGCACGGTCGTTATCACGGAACCAGTGGAGGGCGGCACGACTCCAAAGCGTGGCAAGGCGCAGAAGGTTCTGGTGAAGTGGGACATCGAGCCGGAGGAGATGGTTGAAGACCTTGACCAGCTTCGCGGCTTCCGGGGGGTGACAAGCGATCAGGGTGGCCCCGAGCGGGAGGTGGTCCAGATCAAGTCCGACACCTCTCACCTGTCCCGGGCCTCCGAACGCTTGACGACCCAGCGCTCCCTGCAGAATCTCGAAAGTATCTTTGGGGGGCTGGATCCAGACGATGGAGAAGAGCCTATATCCCCCTTGGGAAATATTTTTGTATTTTTGCTTATATAAAACCCAAGAGGATATTTAAAACACATTATTTTTATGAAGGTTCGAAGGGGAGTATAGGAGCAGGAAGAGCTGAGTGAGCTGTGGCGTGAGCTCTGGGGTGACCTGTGGGAGGCTGACGAAGATCCTCCAACACCTGTCGATGAGCTCTGCCCAGGAGGGCGCCCAGTCGATGCCTACATGCACGGAGAGCAACTACTGTACCTGGGACCCTATTTACCTACGTTTTTTATGTGTTATGCCTATTCATTCAGGGTATAGTTATTGCTAATCTGTAGGTAATTTGGGTCCCAGGTATTTCTCTTCTTCGCACCAACGCTTCATCCCGGCATATGTCGAGGGGCCAGGTATATTTCCAGACGACGGCACACCGCCCATGTATAACGTCCTGGTGGGGGTCCGCTCACAGCTTCGAGACATTTGGGGAGCAAATGGACCCTAAGATTTTGGTCATAAGTTATACCCTGCTACTACTGTTACTAGAATTCCTGTTAAGGTGCCCTGCACTTCTATATCTCCTGTTGAGGTATCGTTAAGGTACCCTAAGGCCTATGAAGGTAGATGATCCCCAAACACGATAGGCCCTAAGCCAAAGCCCATGATCCACAAGCTCTTTTAGGGTTTGATCTGGTCCCAACGAGCTAAAAATTCCTATCAGAGTGCCCTATACTTCTCTAATTCCGATGAAGGCGCATGATCCCTAAGCCCCAAGCCCCAAACCCTAAACCCGAAACCCTAAACCCCGGCTCCATTGGGTCCCTTAAGGAGCACGTTCCCCTTCAGCTCCTCCGGCCGCCGTTTGCGGTGGGCGCCCGCGTGGAGGTCTTCTCTGAGAACCTTGGGGAACATGTAGGGTCTAGGGTTTAGGGTTTAGGGTTTAGGGTAACAAATCAACCTGGATCATATAATCATATGCCTTAAGAGGAACTTGTAGTCGTATAGGATACCTTAGTGGGAATTACAGCAGTATAGCGTATCCCTTCATGGGAATGATAGTAGTTTAGGGTACCCTCATCGGAGTTATAGTGGTATGTAGGGCCCTTTGGCCCGCAAGGAAGAACCGGTGCTGGCTGCCTGGCCTGATCATTCGAGAGCCGGTCGGCGCCCTCATGCACTTGGAGACCTTCCAGGTGCTTAAGTAGGCTTGATTATCCCTGCATAGCCCTAAACCCTAAACCCCTTAATTATGGGGGGAACCTAGGGGGGGGGTAGTATAAGTCAGTCACCCCCCTAGGCCACCCAAGACCCAAAACCATAACAACCTATACCTCAACCCTGACCCACCTAAAGACTCATAGGAAAGACCCATAGCAAGACCCATACCATGGAACCACCAGAAGACCCACACCAAGACCCACATAGAAAAATCCCACTCTAAACTCCATACACCAATACACCCATAGAAAAACCCATATTCCCAACCCGAAATCCCTAACCCTTGAAAATGGAAATGGTCATCTCTAATAAAATAACAATAATAGGAATAAGGTTTAGGGATAAGGTAAAACCATAATATAGTTATAATCTGTAACAACTTAAGGATTGTCACTACATTATACTTATGACTTATCAACTGGAATTTCAATAATTATCCTATCCTTATGCTTGCCGAATAGCATAAAATAGTCTTCTAGAAACTCATCATTCATTAGCAACTGATGGACGCGATTGAATACTTTATCAATATCGGGTTTAGGTTGTTCTGGTTCTGGTTGTGGTTCCTCATCAACAAATTTATTAGGAAATTGTTCGTTTAATCGTTTGCGTATTTGCCTTTTCTGCTTTTCGTATTCTGCCTTAATCTCTGCTTGTAATTCGTCGTTTAGTTTGCCTTCTTTCCTTAAGTTGCCTAACTTCGTTAAATAACCTTTCATCAATATATTTAGTTCCGAGTTCGGATGTAACGCATAATGGAAATGGGCATCCCAGTTTTCGTGTTTTATTTTATGCCCGCATTCTTCGCATAATTGGCTCCCCTTTGCTCTCTCTTCTCTTCTCGCTTGGTTATATTCCTTCTGGCTTTTCTTGTAGCATTTTCTTTTCGCTTCACGGCACCTATTACAAGTCTTAAAGCCGTCAAACTCTTCATCATCTTTAGTCGCACAACACGATTTACACACTCGCTTTTCCATCTTAACATATGAAAAAGTCTAGTCTTTATACATGGTTAGACTGAAAAAATGTTCTAATATTTTAATTAATATTAGAACATTTGAACGAGCAATGGGCAATAGGGGCAACGACTCCAAACTAATTAACCATTACCGTATTTCTTATGATACGCTTATGGCACAGTATAACACGCGGGGTGAAAAAATGATGTCTGGGACTTCAAAAGACTTTACACTGTCAAACATATAAGCAACCATATCTTTAAACAATTCTTTTAAAATCTCCTGTAATTCATAAAATTCAAACAACAATTTAAATCGTTTCTTATACTGACTTAAATGCTGATAATCCTCCAGTTCATCTATTATAGCACTTAACCTAGCATTATACATTCTTATCTTTCTTCTTTCAATTAGCCAAGCACTCGTGGTTTCTTTCTTCTCTTTCTTAAAACACAAACAATCCATATTAATATTACATATATATTAATTCAACTTTTTAAGAATGCGATGTTTCAACTCCTCAATTTCAATTTCTATTCGTTCTATGTCTTTTTTGATGACTTCAATGTCTGTAGTGTTCTCTTCTATTCTTTGTTCGCATTCTTCAGGCGTTATACCATGGTTGCCAAATCCAGTATCACATATTTCAACGCTTCCCATTTGCTTCTCGGTTTTAAATATAACGTTTTCATCAGGCGACACATGGCGACCACCAAATTTTAAATTATGCCTATCTTCTACTATGTTAGTTGTTATTATGTTGTTTTCTTTCACAGTTTTGGTTTCTTTATGATATGACTGACGCTTAAACTTACAAGGGATACAAGAAACACCTTTAGCATTGATGAAAAGACCTTTATTTTTTCACTGTCACTACCATTATCACTCATTTATATTATTTAGATTTCTTACTATTTTTCAAACAAATAATAACTGGTTTTACAAACTCTAATGACAAATAGCAACATCGTTTAATTTTATTATCGGTTATTACCTGCTGTTCTATTACTTCTAAACCGTTTATGGTTTCAATATAAGTATCATACTTTGTATCCATTATATATTTAAATCATATAATTTCTAATTATTAATAATGAGTGAAACAATACCAAAAGTGGAACCGATAGACATACCCGAATATAAATATAAAAACAGCAAATACGAAATGATGCCTAACTTACCCGCTAGGATGCTATGCGTCGCTTCTTCTACTGGAGGAAAGACGGTGCTCATTCAAAATCTGATATTGAAAATCTACCGAGGTTCATTTGAAAGGATATACATATTTTCGCCTAGTGTTCATGTTGATGACACTTGGACGGCAGTTAAGAAATATATAAGCGATGTAATGAAGGTGGATACTGAAAAGGAACAGGTATATTATGAAGACTATGACCCAATAGCACTGAAGAAGATAATGGACACTCAGCATAAAGTCATTGATTTTCAAAAGAAAAACAAACAAAAGGATTTATTTAGCATACTTATAATTATTGACGATTTCGCAGACGACCCCAAATTCGTTAGATACTCTAGTTTGTTACATGGATTATTCACGCGCGGGCGACATAACGCCATCTCGTGTATTCTATCCACGCAGAAATACAATGTATTAGCACCAATAATTAGGTTAAACGCTTCGGCATTGTTTATCTTCAGGTTGAAGAATATGAATGAAGTCAATAGCTTTTTAGATGAAAACTCGGCGTTAGTGGATAAGAACTCACTGTATCAGATGTATCAACAAGCGGTGAATTATGCCCCCTACTCTTTCTTCTACATTAACACAAACGCCAAGGATGTTAATAAGATGTTTTATATTAATTTTGAACAACGCTTTGAAGTTTCCGATGATTAATAATATAACAAAAATATTATTAATTATCATTAAAATAAACTAAATGAGCATAAGTTACAAGGCATACACTTACCATTATTACTACATTTCTTTTTGTTCTTAAGTTCCTCCACTTCTTTTTCCAATGCTTCCGTCTTTTCTATGATGTTTTGAATGGAGTTGAAGGTGATTAAGTCGTTCTTTACCCTTTGTAATTGTTCATCTAGTTTTTGGTTAATTTGTTCGTCTAACGTTGGCATTATATATTAATATACATAATTCTTAATCATCATCATCTTTAATTTTCTTTTTCAATTTCGTTATTTCACCTTTCAATGAAGCTATTTCTTTCTGTAACTCTTGAACACAACCCCAAAGAACAACAGTCATCTTATTATATGCTAATAATTTTATGCCTTCATCATTATAATATATTATGTTGTCCCATTCTTTCGGCATCTTAGCGTCTTTTATGTCATCAGCTATAAAACCCAAGTTTGACTTTTTATCTTCGTCTTTAATAAAATTATATGTTTTAGGTTTGATATACTTAACGGCTTTATAACATTCTTTCGTATTTACCTCTTTAACGTTCTCTTTCAGTTTAGCGTCTGATGTTTCAGTTAAAGCAACACATGTTACATTTCCTCCAATATCAGCGTTATTCGTTGTAGTAAAGAAACCATAAACATCTACGCCTGTATTTGTTGCGTCTAATCTTGATAAATTATTATTGCTTAATCTAATAAATCCGTCAGTATCTGGGTTATTTATTAATACTCGTTGCGACCCTGATACATCAGTGTGAGTTATTTCCAGATTGCCTAATAAATTTATTTTTCCATCGGTTAATTGAATTTCTGGCGTGCTACTTTCTAAACCTATTGTTAAGTTCATTTCTCCTAATGTATCACCATTTCTAATATATAACTTATATTGAGTATCCAATACTTCTTTTAATTCGCTACTATTTTGAAACATAAAACGCCCCCAACTAATTACATCAGCTTCACCAACGATATTACCAATGCTATTAAAAGTGAGGTTATTTGTAACGGCTCTATTTAATGTAATTCCGTTAGTGTCGTTTAATTGTAAAGCAATAGTGCCAGTAGTCGGGTCGGTTGTTCTATTTGATTGTAATGAAAAATTTATTTCTTCTGTTGATATTACATTTAATGAATTATTAGCGTCGGCTCTTTGAAATATTCTACCCGAAATATTTACATAAATATCGCCGTTGAATGTTGATGTGCTTTGAAACGATGCTGTGCTTCCAAAATTAGCATTGCCTCCCGATACATTTAGTTTATTTGAACCTTGAATAACTCCAATGCCTAACGATAAGCAATAAACACCATTTCCGTTTGCTGTATTTAATAGAAGTAATGAAGAACTGTCGTTGCTTTTGTTATAGGCATTAATACCAAAAGAAATAAATTTTAAGTATCCTTGAGCATTCTTAACGCACATTACATTAGATGCATCCGTGGTATCTTTATAAAATGTAATTCCTGAGTTATTAGAAATATTTAAGGTGTCGTTTTCATAATTTATAGTGTCTTTAAAATAAGTTGGGTTAAATAATGTTGTTCCTCCTGTTGTATTATTACATTCAATAAATGTATTAGTGTCAGCGTCTGTTGGTGCTCCTAACACTAATCTCATTGCCTCTTGGTCTGTTCTTAAATCCATTGATATATTTGATTTAGTAGCGTTATTATATCTTTCTATACTTGTATTAGCGTCTGTTAATTCAATATTTCCACCGATACTAACATTATTAGTTAAATTAATGCCGTCTGCTGTTAAATTAGTTAATGATAAATCATTAGTAATATTAACATTTCCGGACGGGTTTAATTCTAAATCAACAACACTATCATCAGATGTAGCGTTTGATACAATTTTATTTCCTTGTAAAGTTATATAATTAGTAGCATTTTTAAACACACTTACTACTTTATCCCCTCCTCCCGTTTGATTACTAAATAATAACCCAGTAGTCGGTGATATATTTATTGTTTCATTATTCAATGTTAAGCCCGTATGAATAATAGTAGGAGCGCTACAATCAATAACTGGGTTTGTTTTAAACCTATCAGTAAAATCACTCAATGGAACTCTTAATGCTAATAAATTATCAATTTCTGTATCAGTGTATCCACTACCACCACCA